TAACAGGTGGAATTTTTCTAAAATTCTTAAATTTTTTTTATAATATATTTAATGTGCTGAACGATGACACACATAAAGCGACAAAATGTAAATAAATTATACGAATCAAATAGTTAATTATTATTGCCTCTTATTTCGACTTGTAAATATATATATATATATATATATATATATACATTATATATATATATATATATATATATATATGTATGTATATATATGTAAGTAAATAAATAAATTCGCCTAATAACAAGGTTATTCATAATTTTTGTTTATTTTCATTTTTGAAGTAAAACTTTTTTATGCGCAATTTATAAGTATTATTTTCTGTACTGTCTGATTTTCAAATTAGTGTTGTATGGCATGGTGCCTTAAGGCGAATTGCTGGAACTTCCCGTACCGTAATAAAATATTCAAAGAGTTTTAAATGTTTTCAAATATATTATTATAAATATTGTAACTTTCATTACTTTTGGTGAATTAACATTGTGAGAAAATCAAATGTAAATTATATATCAATTTATCTCCAGAAACATTAACAATCGTCTATTATATTTAAATTTATATTTATACAACACAATTATACAATTATAGATATTGATGGTACATAACTTAAATTGATAGATAATAATACATACTATATTAAATGAAATACAATTTAAAAAAAAAACAAATGTTTACTCATAACCTTATTCTAAGTTTCGCCTTTTATATGAAAGAAAAAAACAAACAGAATAATCGATAGAGTAACTAGTGGTGTATGGCATCGTGCCTTAAGGCAAATTGCTAGAACTTTCCGTACCGTAATGAAATATTCGAGGAATTTTAAACGTTTTCAAATATATTATTATACAAATACTGTAACTTTCATTATTTTTGCCATCTTGTTATATCTGAGCAAATCAAATGTAAATCATAAATCAATCAATTTATCTCCAGAACATTAACAATGGTCACTTCATTTCGAATTCAATTTAAAAAAAAAAAATAGTTGTCTAATTTACACAAAATTGAAAAAGTGCTCCCTTATAGTCACAGTCGCATTTGCAAATAATTCTGTGCGATATTTTCACTTATACTGTACTTAGCTTGGCGGCATTTTCACATTTTTTTAATAGTTTTCACAAAATTGAATTCGGTGCTCCAGTACATAAACAGTCTAAACGCACCTTGGTAAACATTTGTACCAGAGTGGCGCTTAGATTGTGCTTAGTCTGGGTAATTTTTTGAATTTTTAATCCAAAATTACAAAAATACTTTATGGAAAATGAAAAAGATGCAATAATTTTTTATCCTCAAAAGCAATTGTTTTGTAAATACAAGCATAAAGTTTTTTAGATCATTCAAATCGGACGCGCTTAGTTCACTCAAAAACTGCACATTTATCAACTATTTGCACATTTATCTCTGTACCTTCGAAATTGCCAAAAACTAAGCACCTCTTCTCCCAATCATTACTAATTGAATGTTTTTCGAATCATTCTAATCGAATAATCCGTTCTCTCACAAACCAAATTATCATTTTCTGCAAATTTAGCTGTGTATCTTCGTAACGACTGGATCTGCCTTTGCCAAAAACTAACCAGCACATCCCCTTATCAATAGAAATCGAATGGTTTTTGAATCACTCAAATCGGTTGATCCGTGCTCACAAAAACGTACATACAACCACACATTCACATCCAATTTTTTTTATGTTCACCGAAATGTTCAGAAACCTTTCGAACGTGAAGATTCATTTTCGACTTTAGAACGATTAATTGGAGAAAAAATTGGCAATTGGCAAAGATGGATTTAATGCACACGCACACACCCACACACACATACAAATGAAATCGTTGAGCTTCATGATTTTTCCAAATGTTTCAAAAATATTTTTTTATATAAAAATATTTTTTGCTAATATTTATATTTTGTTATATATTTTTAGTAGTACTGACCAAAAGATGGGTCAAATCAGAATTCGAAATATATTGCACTAATTATCATATTTACGATCGGTTTTTATTTTATTTGAAGAAATACATACTAAAAAATAACATTCTTCTTAATATTCTAATTATTCTTATTATATTATATCTATATATTCATAATATTTATTATATTAATAAAATAATAATAAAACATTCAAAAAAGAAATGATTTTCTTTGAAAAGTTCTCATATCCTAAGGGCGCTGTCACACCAGACGGTCAATAGAAATTATGCAAATGGTAAATTTATAAGAAGAAATATGTAAGAAGTCATTTATCTCAATATATTCCAAATTTTTGCTGATTGTAAGATGAGAAGATAATTTTCTTCAATTTTTCAATAATTTTCAATATAAATCTACCTTCATATAAAAATAATTAATAATATTAGGTTGCCAAAATATCTCCCTTCCGCTTTTTTTGCTCTTGGTTTAATACAAAAAGGCGGAAGGGAGATATTTGACAACCTAATATATAAATAATCATATAATAATAATAATACACATAGTATTTCTTCAGTTGTGAACAATAGACTATGATGCATATGTTAAAATGGATAATTCAATTACAATACCAATATAAACAAGTTTTACATAGGAACAAATTATTTAAATGTTCCAACCAAGGTCCAATTCTTTTATGAAAGATGAAATGATGAATAAAATTGGGACTTCTTCGAAAAAATGCTGGACTATTTTTATGAGAAATTGACACAATTCTCATCTGAATTACATTCAGTATTATTTTTTTAATCAGCTTAGAATGTTCGTTATACTAAGATAATAAATATCCGAAAATAGATCCATTACCCATAACAATTTTTTTCAGTAGAAACAACAAAGAAATAGTTATTTTATAGTTGATTCTATTTAAACAAACTGGTATAAGCTTGTTGTAAGATTCAAGAATTCTCTTAGATTTTACAATGAGGTCACATAAAAAAGTGTCTCAAGTGACTTAAGTGACTTAAGTAACATCAAATATACCCTAGCCTAAAGTGTAACTTGACACCTTTTGTTCCAATCGTCTTATATTACTATAATCTGTGTCTTTTATCTAACAAATTTCTTATTATCAACTTCTCCGTATTATGTGTTCCACTTACACTTTTGGCTTTCTAACAACTATTCATCCGTCAATCATTCATTTTTCCTGAAAATCGTCAAAATTGGCAAAAACATTGGCCAAGTGTAATTATCTTTAGATATGAAATCATCAAGTGATTCGTGACAATTGCCAGGTGCTTGTTTTTGGCCGCTTCGGCTGCCAAGAGGAGGACAGACAAAGGGTCATAAATTTTAATCTTATTCGTAGGAATAACGATAATAATTATAAATGATATATATATATATATATAAATATATATTAGGGTGGTCCTTAATATGGACATTTTCGAATTTTTTGGCTCCCAAGGGCTCAAATGCTTCCAAAGTAATAAAAGAAAATTCTCTGAAAGTTTTAGCTCTTAATATTAACTTTTAGATAGTCCGCAATTCAATTAATATTACGTATATTCGTATTTCGCTATCTGTGATAGCATTCGTCAACTCCAATATTACGACACTTAACAATATTCATAAATCAACTTACCCTCTAAATTTTGCTTCAATATTAAATTAATGAAAATTGTAATTTGTTATTGTTTATTTCTTTTAAAGTGTAATATATAATTTGAATGTTTTTATTGATAATTATTCTGAGCTTAAAATATTTTGCTTATATTTTATTAACTTCCCGTAAGGTAGTTATAATAGTAATGCGCCGAAAATCGAAAATGACAATTTTTGCATTTCTCGACGTTTCGAAGGTTTCTGAACATTTTTAAATTGGCATACCTCAGAAAACTAATGGATGTGTGTGTGTGTGTTTTGTATGGCCGCATTTTTTCGTCCACGTTTTCGGGCGCACGGATCAACCGATTTGAATGGTTTAAAAAACATTCGATTCCTATTGATAGGAAGATGTGCTGATTAGTTTTTGGCAAAGGCAGGTCCAGCCGTTACGGAGATACGGAGCAGGAGTGCGAGAAAATAGAAATCGAGTTTTTGAGAGAGCAGATCATCCGATTTGTATGATCCAAAAAACATTCAGTTCGTAATGACGGGAAAAAGTGGTTATTAGTTTTTGGCAAAGGTAGGCCCGGCGGTTTCGGAGATACGGACCTAATTGTTAAAAAAATGGCAGTTTTTAAGAGAACTAAGCGTCCGATTTAAATGATTCAAACAACTTTCTGCTTGTTTCAACAAAATAATTGCTTTTCGAAAAAAAATTCTAATTTTGTTTTCAAAAAATATTTTTGTAATTTTGGATTAAAAATTCAAAAAATTACCCAGGCTAAGCACAGTCTAAGCGCCACTCTGGTACAAATGTTTACCCAAGTGCGTTTAGACTGTTTATGTACTGGAACACTTTTCCAATTTTGTGAAAACAATTATTGAAAAATGTGAAAATGCCGCCAAGCTAAGCACAGTACAAGTGAAAATGTCGCACAGAATTATTTGCAAATGCGTTTAGACTGTGACTACACTGGAGCACTTTTCAAATTTTGTGTAAATTAGCCGACTATTTTTTTTTTTTTAAATAGAATTCGAAATGAAATGACGCTTGTTAATGTTCTGGAGATAAATTGATTTATGATTTACGTTTGATTTGCTCAGATATAACAATAAGATAGCAAAAATAATGAAAGTTATAGTATTTGTAATGATATATATGAAAACGTTTAAAATTTCTCGAATATTTCATTACGGTACGGGAAGTTCCACCAATTTGCCTTAAGACACGATGCCATACACCACTAGTTTTTTATAAGGCTTATAATAATAGTTTGTTACTAATGTGTACATTTAAGTTTGAATTTATTTATCAAATTTCTCATATGAGTTAGAATTGATCAAAATTAATTTTTTTTTAAATATAACAATGTTAGTAACAAGATTTTGGATTCAGAAAAATACATTGTTCGGAACCCCATTGATTTGTGATTATGATATTTCGATAGTGCTCATTGAGACTTTTCATTTGATACCCCACATGCCATATTTGACGTGACTTGTAGTTTGGCAACCCATTGGTCCACTTTTCATTATATCTCTTGCAACTTTTGAACCGTACGTCTAAATTGAGTGTAATATTTGGCAAATTTGTGCTAAATTTTATTGTATATAATACTGTCTCATGTAGAAACCTTTCACCAAGTCGGTACACTTGCGAATTTGCAAAAAATGATATTAAATATCGAATAAATGCTTGGTACGGAACTCTAGTACTTTATTGTAGTTTTTATTATGATTTTTGTATAGTGCTCGTTGAGACCTTTCATTTGATACCCCACATGCCATATTTGACGTGAAAATATTTTGACTCTTATAGTTCAGTAACCCATTGGTCCACTTTTATTGAACACTTAAATAATAAATCCATGTGGACTGTTTAACGAAATATTTATTCATCATGGCATCAAAATTAATTATTTATTTGGTGATGTAGACACTCAAATTATCAGTAATAAATTGCCATCGAAGTTCCAAGTCTGCTAACAAAGATGGTGCAAGAATTTACTTAATAATGAATATACGAAACTTTTAATTGAATTGCGGACTATCTAAATGTTAATATTAAGAGCTAAAACTTTCAAAGAATCTTCTTTTACCAATTTGGAAGCATTTGAGACCCTGGGAGCCAAGAAATTCCAAAAATGTCCCCACTGAGAGCAAAGAAATTGAAAAATATCCATATCAAGGACCAGCCTGATATATGTATCTGTTATAATTTTTCCACTGACCTCATCGTCGAAATCCCAGGCATCGTCGCCTTCTTCTAGGGGCCTCGGCGAAGGCGATCTGCTTCCTGCTGGATAATAAGGAGTTTGGCAAGGCGGCGCCGCCGATTCTTCAGGAATTACCGCAAACCGCCCTCTTTTTATGTAAGGGGACGGGGGGCCGTACGTAACTAGAAAAAAAAAACATTATTAATATACAAACATTATTAGTATTATAGATAAATAAGTATAAATAGATCTCAAACACGGCTGCTTTGGCATTATAAAAATTTTAATTGTTTGCGTGCTCCATAGAGGCGCCACTGATTGTAGCACGTAAATTTACCACTAGGTTCAATTCTAGATAAAATTTATTTGAATATATAATACGAAAAAAGAGTGCGCGTAAGGTTCACACGCGATTGAAGTAAAACTTATTCACTACTGTACAAGATGGCATTTAAGTAAAAATAAATATATCATATAACAATTTTGAATAATGTTTATCAGTAATATGGTAACACTCGCGATGCACACATTTATTAGTGTCGACCATTATACACATTTATATAATGATAAATTATAACATATATATTTATAAAAGCATTAAAAATATATATAATATTTAAAAACAATAATGTAATCAAAGTCATACTTCAAATATGACATGATCGGTTTGTCATTGTAATTAGCACTTAGAAACGAACCTTTATTAGAGAAATTAGGTAATTGCTGTATAATGAATTCTATAATATTCGTTCACACAGTGGATAAAGAAATATTGTTTTCGCAATTTTACTCGTCATACAATATTCGTGTTTGAAGAACTTCGTGTAATTAAAATTAACATACATTCATTGACTGTTTGTATTTTTTTTACTTTTCCGCTGGCGATATAATCTCATTCTTGGAACAGCAGTATAATCTGTTTTGCCTAAAAAATATTTTCCATTTCAATAAAAAAAATGGAATAAAAAATAAAAATAAAAATAAAAAATATAAAAATGAATCGCAAAATGTGTTGGTAAGCGCATAACTCAACAACGCCTGGACCAATTCGGACAATTATTTTTTTAAAGTGTTCGTTGAAGTCCAAGAATGGTTCTTACGGCGAGAAAAAATTGAATAATTGCCGGGAAAACACTAAAAACAGCCCTTTTCTTTTTCACATACAAACGTTTTCTAACTAAAATCAATAATAGAATCAATTTGAGCTTTATTGCTATCATATAAAGTTCATATAAAATTACAAGCACTCACTGTATACTCCTTCTAAATGATTATGCGGATCTTGATAAATCTTTTTGAAGTTTGTTAAGAAAATTTCTAGAATCTATGTGATTATAAAGTACTGCGATGTATGTATTGCACATTGTAGAAAAAAATCGAAAGATTGCAAAAACGACATGTCATTGTTTGCATTGAAAACAAATGAAAATTATCATTTGCCAAAAATTTCAATTTACTTATGAATCTAGACATTATTAGAATATGTATAATAAATGTATGATTATGAATAAGAAAAATGAAATGTTTACATCATTATTGCCAAAAACCGGCTGAGATGTGCCAGAAATTCAAATAATATAAGATACAGTATATGTATGGTAGATTTAATGATACACATATAAACAGGATATGACAAATTAATTCTCTTAAAATATGAAATTAAGTATTAATAAGGGCCGGTCCTACCTTTAATGCGATGCATACGAAAAATACGAGCGCACGCCTTAGGGGGCGCCACACAAGATTCGGATATTAAATTTTCAATATAGTTTTTTTTTACAATGTATAATTTCTTTTGCTAATCTTTCCATAATATTTTTAAAATTCGTAAAAATTTCACTTTATAACAACAAATGGGAATGTAAAGATGAATACATACAATTCGGCCCTAACGATATCGATTAGGAGAAGTTTAAGATGCAATTTTGGATATCTTAAATAATAAAAAGTTAAATTAATTCAATCCAACATGAAGTACCAGTGTTATGTTATGGTTATGGTTATGTTATACCGTTTAAAAGACTTTAATTTCCAATACAGTGTGAGAATTGAGACTCATCATTTTATTTAAAGCAGTTCTACATTTAACATCGCTCATATTATAAATGTATATTCATTTTGGCGTGAAGAGTAATTTAAAAAAACAATAATAATTATTTTTAAGTAAACGGTAAATATTAGTATATTATAATAAAAGAATGTAGACATGGGTACAGGACAACGTCTGTCGGGTCATCTAGTATATAATAATTTTTTTAACGTTGAAAGTATGTGTTTATAATTAGATAATCAAAAAAGTTCTTAGTGATGAATTTATGTACTGTATATATATTCATTATAGTAGAACCTCGTTTATCCGGACCTCAGTTATACGGATTCGCGATTATCCGGACTACTATGTAATCTAAGAAAATATATTTGTACTAGGGTTTGTTCGGAATAGAATAAACTCGGAGTTTTGTTTAATTATTTCTAGAATTAAAATTTACATTAACAATTATGTATCAATATGTATCTAATTTTTTCTTTATTTAATTAAAAGTTAAAAGCTTTTTATTTAAAAATGTATTATTTTTATTTATTCAAACTCTTTTATTTCACTATCATAAAAATATTTATTGTCTATATGTGAAAATAATGCATAAATAACGAATAATTAAAATAAATTTGTTTGCTTTTCATAAAATTGAACATTAAATAAATTCGATCAAAAACTGCTTTAAATCACACTAAATTTGCCGATATTTTTTTGTTCTTACAGAATATTCGAGTAAAAATTTATTTTTTATATAAAATTTGAAAACCGGTTTTCTGGGAAATTTAAAATTCAAAAACCGGTTTTCTGAAATGTCGGTTTTTGTATAAACCCTAATTTGTACATACATAACGAAGTTTCAATTTCTTAATAAACGTTGATCGTTGATAACTATGTATATATTTGTTATTTTTAATAAATACACAACATTATTCTTCATACATTTGATTATCCGGTTAATCGAGATTCTACTCTATTTATTTCTCAGTAAGGTTTCGAACCTTCATTATCTACTTACAGTTCTGTTGGTACAGCGGCGCCAAGCGGTACATCCCCGAACCGCTGCCGTCGAACGACGAGAAGTTTTCATGTTTGTCGGCGCGAGATGACCCTCCTATCGCGGAGGCGCCTCCGCCACTGGAACTCGAAGACACTTTGAAGCGCCCCCTGACCGTAGTGCTCCCGCCGGAGGCCCCGGACTCTTCGGACCCATTTCCACTGGCTAGAGGGAAAAGATAGAAAACTATTACTAATTTATAATAGAATTCATCCGAAACTACATCGTGGTTAAAAAATTAATTAATACTTTTTTTTCAAATTTAGGTTTTAAATGCGCAAACCCTTTTCTATATGAACGTTTTTTTAATTACAACATCTGCTACAACTGCTAAATAATATAACATCTAGTAATATATGTGAATATTAACATAAATTTAAATAAACTATACTACAAAAATAAAGGATAGTATTTTGTTTACCCAAGTGCGTTTAAACTGTTTATGTATTGCAATATTTTCCAATTTTGTGAAAAAACTATTGAAAAATGTTAAAATGCCGCCAAGCTAAGCACAGTATAAGTGAAAATGTCGCACAAAATTATTTGCAAATGCGTTTAGACTGTGACTATACGGGAGTACTTTTTCAATTTTGTGTAAATTAGGCAACTATTTTTTTTTTGTTGAAATTGAATTCGAAATGAAATGACGATTGTTAATGCTCTGGAGATAAATTGATTGATTTATGATTTACATTTGATTTGCTCAGATATAACACACAAGATAGCAAAAATAATGAAAGTTACAGTATTTGTTGTAATAAAATATTTGAAAACGTCTAATATTTCTCGAATATTTCATTACGGTACGGGAAGTTTCAGCAATTTGCCTTAAAGCACGATGCCATACACCACTAGTTTAATTATATTTTTTCAATACATATTAAGTAACTAATGTCGAGTGTAAAATACTATTGGTAGAAAATTCATATACCATTTACCACAAGTAAATTATAAAAAGACAGCAAATGAAGCATAGGATTATATATAATATATAATAAAATATGTATATGAATTTAATTTATATAATTATTGAAACAAAATTCATGAACTGCAACATCTCGTATAACAATCAAATAATCCAATTTTGAATTAAATTTAAATTTGTGTCTTAGGGCAAATTGCTAGAACTTCCCGTACCGTAATGAAATATTCGAGGAATATTAAATGTTTTAAAATAGATTACTATAATTACTGTAACTTATATATATTTACAGAAAAGTAAATAAACAAAACTTAATCAATCGAACTTAAAATGCAGGACATTGTCTAATATTTATAAGAATTATATAAGCTGAAGTGTAAAGTTAAAATTATTTATTCAAATTAGGGGCATAATTGAGCATTTAGAACGTTAGTTAAAAAAATTAAAATTCGTATTATTTTCGATATTCAAAACAATTTTTTTTCCAAAATCAATTATTTTGTTGAAACAAGCAGAAAGTTTTTTGAATCATTTAAATCGGACGCTTAGTTCTTTCAAAAACTGCCATTTTTTTTAACATTTAGCTCTGTAATTCCGAAACCGCTAGGCCTATCTTTGCCAAAAACTACTAATAATCACTTTTCCCCGTCATTACGAACTGAATGTTTTTTGGATCATACAAATCGAATACTCCGTTCTCTCAAAAAATCGATTTCTATTTTCTGCATTCTTTGCTCCATATCTCCGAAACGGCTGGACCTGCCTTTGCCAAAAACTAATCAGCACATCTCCCTATCAATAGAAATCGATTGCTTTTTGAACCATTCAAATCGATTGATCCGTGCGCCCAAAAACGTGGACGAAAAAAATGCGGACATACAAATCACACACAAACACACACATCCATTTTTTCTGAAGTATGCCAAAATGTTCAGAAACCTTCGAAACGCCGAAAAATGCAAAAATTTTCATTTTCGATTTTCGGCCCATTACTATAACTACCCTACGGGAAGTTAAAAATATCTATATATTAGAACATGGTCTAATATATAGATAAATAAATTATATAGAAAATATTTCATAACGATTCATAAAAATATTATTTCATTCTAGTTTTCGAATAGATTATTATAGATACTGTGACTTTTATCATTTTTATTTTATAAAATACTAATAGACAAAATATAAGAGCTTATGAATTGGACGACGACGTTCTGGCTTTCATAGTAATAATACAGTATGGCGTTGTAGGAGGGTTGTATTAATTTCGGGAACACGTAATATGACGAGCGCGTTATAGGAGGGTTGACTATACATATGTATATCTTTTTCCTCGTCACGGATTATTACTATGCGCCCTCCTGCAGGCGCTGCAGGCGCCGTCGCGCATTCGTAGTTGTAATTCGTAAGTAGGTCAAACGTAATAAAATCACGTGGACGAAGCCGGGGCCGGTACTAATATCGATCCGTAAACGTCAAACGGCTTTCTGGGAAACGGAAAAACTATGTTTCACTCATGCAATTTATGTTAATTGACCCCCAAGGGGTTGCATTATACATCAACATATACACATACACATATGATATAATATATATCAGTTCGATTTAAAGATCGAACACTACATGATCAATTAAAAATTGTATGTATGCTTTTTTTAAAAAAAAATATTTAAAATCCATACGTTTCGAATAAAATCCTAGCCTTCATTCAGTGGAATATACTGTCAACTAAAATAATAAAACCAAGTAAACAATTATCAGTTTAAATCAATTAACAAAGTATCAAAACTTACAATTTGGTATCCTTAATAAAACAATGGCAAAGTAATACTAGGCACTATTGTAAAATCTGTATGTTTTAGCCTTACAACAAACCAGTCTTTATTCTAAAACTTTATTTTTTTATGGGAATTATTTCTAATGATAAGAAACACTTATTAACTTCCCCTAGGGTAGTTATATTAATGGGCCGAAAATCGAAAATGAAAATGTTTGCATTTCTCGACGTCTTGAAGGTTTCTGAACATTTTTACAGGGCATACCTCAGAAAACTAATGGTTGTGTGTTTGTATGTGTGTGTGTGTGTTTTGTATGTCCGCATTTTTTCATCCACGGATCAACCGGTTTGAATGGTTTAAAAAA